CGAACTGACCTCTGTAAGTATAATAACGCTGAATGGTAGGACATAAACGTGTTGCCTTGTAAAAGCATTTTTTGTGCAAAAAAAAAAAAAAAAAACAAGGGTGAAAAAGCGATTAGCTGAAGCAATTGCCAGTAAGGAAATGCAGGGTCTAGTGAGCAGGCTTTAGAAACACTTGGTTGATTGTCCTGCTGCCAGGAACCAAGAGCCATCAACTGTACAGGACGCGAAGATTGGTTCTCAGGCGGGTGCATCATTTATCGCGCTTTCAGGGGACGTGACAACGGCAGGTGAGCATTTAAGTATATCATATTATAAAATTGACTTATAGAGCCAAATATACTGCTTCTTGATATTTATTTTGTTTTTATTTTCATATCCGTAGCTGAAGTGTTTTCGGCCAGACGTCACGAAAGACAGCAGAGAGCCTGCTGGACGCTCACCGGTCTGCACTCAAAGCAAAATGAGCGTCGCAGAATGTCTTAGACTCGTTCGTTGTTCAGACGCCTGGCAGCTTCAAAGGTAGTTAAGAGAAGCAAGTAGCGAGATTTGTGTACGTGAGGAGCATGCCCTTCCGAGTGGTTGAACACTCGGAGTTTGCTACTCGCACGGACATGCTGCGCCCCGGATACAAGCCTCCCTCCCGGCAGTTGATGAGAAACACTTTGCGTGAGGAAATATACGCTGAAGAAGAATCGAAAGTCTGTCTCCAGCTGCACAACAAGGTTGTGATCATGATCATGGACAAGCGGTCTAACGTTCACAATAAACCAGTAATCTGTGTCGCTGTCACGGATGAAACTGGACAGACGTTTCTTGTTGACACCTCCGCACACTCGCAAACTTCAGATTACCTGGATGAGTTCGTAGCATATGCCATACCAAAATGTGAAAACGAAAGCAAATGCAACGTGATAAGCTTTGTGACGAACAACACTGCCAACATGGCCAAAATGGCAAGAAATTTACAGGGAAAGTCTTCTACAAGAATCCTTCCGTACGGCTTAAAAAAAAAAAAAGAAAAAAAAAACGTTGAAGTGAAAACTACGAGATATCAGGTTGTGCACGAGGTACAATACTCCAGCAACAACCACCTTGCTGGAGGTAAGTAGAAGAAGGCAGGAGGAAAACGCTTGATTTTGCCACCCAATGTCCGCTGCAACACAATTGAGCTGTTTGGATCTTCATTTGATAATCGACGTAATTTTAACAGTTTGTGACGAAAACAAAGAGAAAGTTGACTTACATGTGCTGAAAAAGGTAAAGACGTTTACAAATATCTGTTCCGCGAAATTAGAGCGGTGCTCTTGAGGAAGAGGACAGGAGGGTACGGAGGCGAAGGTATACCCATTTTCTTCTCTAAATTTAGCGGGGTAATTGAATTGGTGTTGAGGTCACGTGACGTCAATTTTTCCGTTAAACATAGCGGGGCATTGAATTGCGGTTGATGGCACGTGATGTCAATTTTCTCGCTAACTCTAGCGGAGAAGCTGAAATAGTTCATAGGTGACGTGATACCAAGTCATGTGATTCATTTTCCCCTCTAAATTTAGCAGGGAAACTGAATTGGTGTTGAGGTCACGTGACGTCAATTTTACCGCTAAATTTAGCGCGGTTAGGCCGAAGCCGACGGCGCCGCCGCGAAAAAACCGGAAACCAGCGCCTAAGAGCTGCGCTCTGAAATATAGCAAGCCTCCAAATAAAGTCTTATGTAGAAGAGATGCTGACTAAAATGAAGTCCATCACAGTTTCCTTAGAACTCGCGAAGCACTCTTTCTGCACCTCCCGAGAGGTTGTGGAAGTTTGGAAGGAGCTTGGCCAAAAATCGAGATATATGTAAGTCGATGAAGCAAAGCTTGCATGCTTCCGACAACAATACAAGCAGGGATTGACTTCCGCGCACTTTTTGAATTGCATGGGGGATCCAGTTTGTGCAGAACGTGTTCAGCCCACTGAAAATGAGAGGATCCAGACCCTGACGTTTGCAGAGAAGACCTACTCCGGAACATGTTCCAAGTCAAGTCCTCGCCATTTACAGCGACCCTGTTTGGTCAGGCCGATTGACTGGTGGAAGTCCCATGGCAGTAACCTTGGAGAGTCCTCCACCGCGGTTCTCCAAGTTGTTACTCGACTTTTTACAAGCGTTGCAAGGACGGCTGGTATGGGAATAATTTTCTCGTCATTTAGGTTAGTGCATTCCAAACTCGGAAACAACTTTGGTACCGAGAAGGCAGGAGAACTAGTGTTTATTTACAAGTTTCTGGATGAAAACCACACCATGCCATAACATGATTTTCAGCTGCTTCTTGGGGTTTGAATGTCACAGACTTTTTTTTCCTTATTTATGCTCCTTTTTTTCTAAGTGTGCTCAAAGTCTGAGACATAATAACACCCCTTTTTACATGGGTTTCTAGAGTATAAACCATAATACGACACATAACTTTATTTATTGATGCTTCACTGTAAAACAAAGTTCGCTCACTCACTGCAGAAATCAAGCTGCCTTCTCTAGCAAAGCGTATTGCGTAATTCACATCAAGAGTAAAACGTCCTCAGTTAACCTTAGGGTTATGCGTTTTCGGCTTAAACCAAATAAGACCGGTAAAAGTACGCCGCATTCATTTGTCTGAATTCGGTTTTAACTGAAAAAGAACAGTACCTCCGAGGACGTTTGGAGGGGTCAGTGGGCGGGGGTGAGTGGGCGGGGATGAGGGGGGGGGGGGTTGGATGCGACTCATTACTGACCGTACGACCACTTCCTTTCGCAGTTTTCAGCTTGTCTCCTGGGTTGGTTCAACTTTCAACAAAAGCTCCGGGGGCGTAAGGGTCTTCAGGACGAAATCTGTTTTTTTTTTTTGTTTTTTCTTTCACCCGATATAAATTTACGTGCCGAATTCTTTGTTCAAAGAAGAGAGTTTAATCGTGAACTGAACAATGAAAATCAAGGGCGTCCGTAAATGCCCCACATTTTTTAACACCCCTAGCTTCCGTCTACTAGAGGAGGACATTAATGCGATTGTTTTATTGTCGTTTCTGTGGTCGGCACGAATTTACCACCTCTCGCAGTCGTGAAAATTGGGAAAAACCGCACTGAGTACAATACTTGCAAATTTCTATTCGCCTCTGCGACCGAAGTGGCAGTAAAGCTCATGTCTGCCTTCTGTACAAGTAAGGGCACACGACGATAATGTCAGCCCACGTGTTGGGGCGTGCGTATTGCAGAAGAGGTCGAGTCGGCTGCCACAAACAGCAACAAGTAAGAAAACCAGTACCTGGTTTACTCACTATACATTTTAAACCAATGCTTTTCATTATTGCATTTCCGCCAGGAAATGTTTTTCGTCAACAAACCGGAAAAAACCGAGAAGTTTATTAGTGTGCAAACATTCACAGCAACAACCAGAAAACTTGTGTTAGGAATAAGAACCGAAAGAGGTACGCCGAATTTTTAAATAATAAAAACCAAAAAAAGTACGCCGAATTTAAAATAATAAAAACCGAAAACGCCAAACCCTAGTTATATTGTGCTCTGCGACACAATTATGTTTACAGTATCTCTTTACATATCATTTTTAGTGAGAGGGTGCGCTGAAAAACAAACCTGCCATTTTTTAAAGCAACATTTAGCGACAAATCTTTATTTAAAAAAGTCGTCTAATTTATGACAAACTTATATAAAAAAAAAAGACCCGATTTAAATCAAACGAACCAGATTTTGATTCATATAAATATGAATTATTTGATTCAAAACCTGATTTTTTCTACCCTGAATTAACCCCTTGCATTTTGAACATTGGTGAAAATTTTCAATATACGGTTTCATTTTGTATCTTGCAAGTCCAGGTGTGATGAACTGGGGTAAAATTGTAGAGAGAGCGGTCAAGCTTTACGACTTTGAACTTGCCTAGTCGACGAAACGAGAAGACTGGTGCCATAGTTCGTGGAGTCACCTGAAAGTCAGCGTCCTTGGTGTATTGCTCCGTATATTATACCTATAGCCGATTCTCGAGAAAAAATATAGCCCGCATGGGTAGGGACTAATTTAATGGTCCATACAAAAGCAGAGATTTTATAGCATCTTGGTCTTTTTGTGTTTATAACAAGCAGATTTAACGTTCGGTTTGGCCTGGCAAGTATTGTAACACCTGGGGCGGTTCATCCCAAGTCTCTCGATAATTTTCAAGGCATAGAACGAGGCTATTGTTTTGGATGGACCTCTAGGCCTGATTACCACTACGAGATGGGGTTGTGCCTGGATTGTATTTATGACGGTCTTATTACTTAACTAAGAACTGCAAGAAGCTTTGCGTTTAGCCGTCCTTAACAGCATATATAGTTTGGAGTTGTAATCGGGATCATTTCAAGTGCTTTGGTCATGGAAAAGTATTCTGGAAGCACTTGACATACCTGTTCAGGATTGTTTCATTTCGACTGAAAGTATGTCCTGGCCGGAGAAGAGCCGTCCTTGGCTATAGGAGATGACCTATCGACTAAAACAAAAACAACGTTTTGTTTTATTATGCAAAAAAAAAAACTTAAAAAATTAAGACGAGCTATGGTTCAGTAACAAAATTTAGAAAAAAAAAAGGACGAATAAAAAACCAGTTTAGGGGACGACGAAACCGGTCTCAGTCCAGAAAGCAACTGACTTGACCTGTTCGACTGAAATGACGAAGTGAAGCGATCGGAATAAAAAAAGAAAAAAAAAGTTAGGGAAATTTATAGTTTAGCCAATCTACAGCTGCCGAAAGGCATCTGCAGCGTTCAGACAGCTGGCGCTTAGAAAATGCTAAGTCTAATTGATAGCGCGGTTGTTTTTGCTTGAGATCTACAAACCACAGAGCTAGAATTATCAGGCGAACACCTGCCGTCTTTCGCAATGACGTCTACTCTCCACTGCGCCGGCTTGCTTGACCCTTGCGAGATGGACACGTGTTAATACTCTCTACAGTGTTTACTTGCTTCCTTCCTCATATCAAGGACGCTGCAAGTCTCTCCCGGAGTCGCATCGCGCGCCTCTGAGTATCTTCCTCCAAGGTCGCGAGAGAGATTGAAAATAACTTAAGAGGGCGGGCGACTACCTAACGCTCATTTTTTGGCCTGAGAGAAACTGCATCACTAACTGCCACACCGGGATGGCGTCGACGACGGCATCTAGATTGGTCTCCGAAGTGAGTGAGAAATACGCCTACTTGAACTCTTTACGGGACCCAAGGACCTTCGGCTGGAGCCTCACAGGTGACCTGAGGTTCATGCTGCCAATATGTCTCGGCTACCTCTATGTTGTTAAGATAGCCGGTCCAAGATGGATGATGAACCGCAAGCCCTACAACCTCAAGTGGGCCATAATGGCTTACAACTTGTTCCAGGTGATTGCGAACGCTTTCTTCTTCGTGCAGTACATGCGTCTCTCGTACGTCAGTGGTAACTACAGTGTGTTCTGCCAAGGCATTGACTACTCACTTAAGGTGCACGAGATGGAAATTCTGCGAATATCCTGGTGGTACCTTTTTGTGCGGATTGTGGACTTCATGGACACATTTTTCTTCGTCGCGACGAAAAAGTTTTCTCATATTACCTATTTGCATGTCGTTCACCATTTTCTCGTTGTGCTCAACGGTTGGGTGTACCTAGCCTTCGGTGGTGGCGGTCAGCTGATCATGGTCCTGTGCTTGAATACTATCGTCCACGTCGTGATGTACGGCTACTACTTCCTCTCCGCACTTGGACCTAGAGTTCAAAAACACCTGTGGTGGAAGAGGTACCTCACAAGGCTGCAGATCTTCCAGATCACCTTCCTCACCCTCCATGCGTGCATTCCTCTCGTGTACGATTGTGGATACCCCAAAGCACTCATACTGATCGCCCTTCCGCAATCCTTCGTGGTTCTTGGGCTCTTTATCAACTTCTACATTCAATCGTATACCAAAAAGGGGAAACCTGAACTGTGCATTTCTCAAGTTCTCAAAGAGGAATAAAATACCAAGTAACGCAGAATAGTGTAAAACCCTTAATGTTTGCGAGCTCGTGATTTTCGCAAATTTCACGAATTGAAAAATTTGCGAACTTAAAGGCATGCGAAAATTTCGGTCCTTAAGAGTTTCAATGCGGGCGTCTGAAATTTGCGAAATTTAGTAGCCGCGATTGTGTCCTTTGTGACCAATTCGTGAAAAAATAGAGGCCGAAAAAATAAAGGGTCTTACAGGATTGTTTGTTTCTGCGTGGTTGTGAACTGATTATTTTGATTATAGTGTACAAAAAGCTCGGAAGAAAACATAATAAAAAAGAATGTGTTAAAGTATGTCGATCTTTAAAATGTTATGGAGAGTTTAATATTTTTCTTTTGGGAATCCTTGTCAAGCACGCAAAATGACAATCTTTAGAACTTTGAAAGCACCCAAACCAATTGGTTAGAATAAAAAAAAAGATCAGAACCACTTGTTATTAACAAAACATTTGCCATTTGACAGCACACGGTTTATATTTATTTTTATAAAGAAACGAACGGGGCCTGATCGGCATTGCAGAAACTGCGCACTTTTAGACCTGCAAAACCTGGAAGAGTGCTTTTAGGACAGCTTTTACAAGTTTGAGGGGCTACTTCTGTAATCTCTAAGCGTCATTTAAATCTTTCATCTACGAAACAAATGGTGAAGTATTAATATGACCACTTTAATCCAGTCAATTATCACTTTAAGCCAGCCAATCAATTATTGAGCGGTTGAACATGCGCATGGAATTAAAGGCTAATATGTTGTTACAATTCGAGTAATGTGCACATTAGTTAATATTTTCATTCAACGAGGCATGCCACATTTGCTAATAGGGTCATAAAATGAGTCTCAGTTGTGTAAAGTTGGATTACGGACATTTTCTACGAAGCATAATATAATTGGCGGAAGAGTGATCTTCTTCCATCCTACCGCCAAATATCTGGCGCGTTGCCAAACAAAACACTATCCTTGTTGTGCACGCTCGAGGTTGTAACTTATTACTTCCGTTGAATCCATATGGGGTATTCACACGAGGAAGAAATTCCGGGGATTTCTCTACGACGCGCGCATCACGAGACGAAAACGCCAAGCTTTTACACATCGCAAAAGCCTGCTGTTTTCGTCTTGTGATGCGCGCGCCGTGGAAAAATACTCGGGATATTTGCCTCCTGTCAATACCCTTATAACAGCGACAATGCAATAAAAAATTTAGAGGTAATACTTCTCGATATGCTCAAATATTATATTACTTGTATTGGAATTGAAAAGCGTAAGAATTTGGACTTATTTGAATATTTTATTTTTCTTCCTTTCGAGGAAGGCGATAATAATAGCAATTCGGATGTCCTTTACAAGCATCTGCCTTCTGACACAGGAGCGAAGGAACAACATGGATATAAATATAAAAACTGTAAATACAAGGATACACACACATATAGGCGTTCAAAACAAAAAGAAACGGTCAATTGATCACGATATCATAAAAAATAGTAACTTCGTTTCATTATTTCATTTTGCTCTTACGGTCATCTTTAATCTTAATGAGCATCTTTGAACTCTAAGGTATACTTATTTTTATAGTTTATATACTTTTGTAGGTATTTAGTTCCTAAGCTTTGCCTCGGGGCAAAGTCAAGACCGGCGGTGTGAGATGGAAGGGAGCAGCGGTACTTCGTCGCCATGGTGACGAACAAGATCATTTGTCGCCAAGTGGCACGCCACGTGGCATTTGGCATGCTGAGTTGCACAAGTAGTTTTTGAGGAAAAGGGCAAGTTGATTCTAGATTCTGCTATACCGCTTAGCTGTATATATATAGATATATATATTACTTGTGATAAACATTAGTTTGAATTCATAATGTTGACAAAAACCCAGTTCTACCTAGTTGAGCAATAACACATTTTATTGTTGACCACGTGCAGCGAGCGAGGCTGTTGCGGCTTGATCACTTTACTTGCTTTGCCCCTGAAAAAGAAAATGGCAGTCATATGCAATCTCAAAGCGGATTATTTGTATCAAACAGCCAATACTGGCAAGTCCCACGGAGCGCGGGGGAAAAGTGATCGCAGCGCCCCTGGCGACCTCGGAGTCTCCGCTAGCAGACGAATTTTCCACAACGCATTCGTTTTGCCTATCTCTGCGTGAGGCGACCAATGAAACAAATATAGTTACGGGTATTCGCTGCTCTGAATGTTATAAAATAGGAGCCACACCTTGAGTGAAGTACATTTTCTTCGCGTGGGAAAGATGTTAGAGCTTTCAGGGTGCAATTTTGTGGATCTCCCGAAGAAAAGACTCTGTCACAACTTATGTAATCCGAGAAAACACAAATGTACCTTCACGCTGTTTCTTGAGAAAGGAAAATGTATAAACATTTTAGAACATAGCTACATTTCAACTTTACCGTTCTTACCGATCAATTCCTATTGTTGTTGCGATTCCCATTTCTCATGAATATCTTGCTTGCAACCGTTTTGTCGAATACGCGAGCTAGCTTATCCCGTTAAGATCATCTCCATATGACGAAGTAAAAGGCAATTTTGAGCCAGGTACGTTACTGCGATGTCAGAAGGCTCTAGAAGAAGTTGATTGTGCACATGCAAATCAGACGATGTTACTGAAATTGATAAAAACGGAGTTACAAAAAAAAAAAAAAAATCTTGCGCGTGAAAAAAAAAAGAAAAAAAGAAGAGTGTTTTAGTGCAAATAAGGGTGATTTCGGCCTCGTTATATACGGTGTTCCCATTCCGATTGTTAGAGCCGGGACGACTAGCGTCTTCGCCGTCTTCTACGTTAAAGATCGGCACCCGTTGGACCGCGTCTAGCAACTTCTTCCATTTTTCAGTCTACTTTATTTTTATGTTTGAAGCGACGCTACGCCCCGCCGCGTTCTTACTTCCTCCTTTTTCATGTTTCTTTTTGTTGCTTTTTTATCTTTTTTGTTAACTTGACGTCCGAACCACCGCTTGGTTTGCTTTGCCGAACCATCGCGTTTTTGCTTTGCCTTATTTGGCTTAGTTTTTACACTCTTTTGTTTTTCACTTGGGCGCTTACTACCACCGGTTTGTCTGCTACGCTGTGCCCGGACATTTTAAGAAGTGTCTGCAACTTTGTTGTTGTTTTCTTCCACTGTAGTCTGCGATAACCTCGTATTTTCGCCCTAGATGTAGTTTCTAATCCGAAATCTTCATATATCCCTTTTGGTATTATTCAAAACATTGAAAAGTGCAAGCTCATTATACATTTCTATTCGGATTTTATTTTGGGTACGCCGGCACGTCTGTTATGGGTCGTCGTTTGTTGATCAACCGGCCGCCTTCGGGCATACACCAGCGCACACTTGGAGATTACAGGCATGCCCTGTGCTACTTACCACTGCGAAAATAAGTTTTTACAATGTGGTGGGAAATATATGTTCCACTTCCCGAAGACAGAACGCACGTGAGTAATTGCGTTACTGCAGCATTCAAATTAAACGTGAAGAGCTATCCATGTCTGACTTCAAAATCGCCACTGGCGTCTCAACAGACGATTATGAGGACTCCACGAAGATGGCGAAGAACTGCACGGACGAAAGACCAATTGCACAACTGAACACCCAGTACTATGTAGTCGGGTGGGCAGCCAGTTAGATCTGTTATCATGCTTGCGAAGTCCACCTGCAATCAGAAACATGGAACACCCCGAAATACATTCTGTTTAAGAACAAGAAATATTCGCATGTGAAAATGACACCACCTGCCGAGTTTGCTCGTTCCCTACCCGGTAACATTAGCCGTGCCTTCGAAAAACACATTTCACTGATATGTTGCAACAGAGAAGAGTTGAGCTGAAGGCGGGCTTGAGGCCGCTGATCGGCACTCGAAACAAAGGCATGGTGTGCAAAAATTGCCTGCACACGTTCGTCAACGAGTACTTGAACGTACTTTTGATCTGCTTCGTTAAGCGAGCAAACAAAAAACGTGCCAAAATCACTGGGAAAAGAAATGCGAAAGGAAAAAGGCCGCACTGCTCGCACGTAGCAGACTGCAGCGTGCGACTCTTATTTACCGGGCAGTGTGAGCTGGACTACCTTCTTCCTTTCCCATGTTTTGTTTTTAGTTCTTACCAGCACCGTGGAAGCAAATAAACATACCTGTAACAAGAAACTGCGGAAAAAAAGGGAAAAAAAGTAGTGAAGCTGTTTTTCTTTTTTAAAGCTGCTGCTGCTGTCCAATTTTCTTTTGTTTTTTGTTTGTTTTTCATAAGCGCCGCAACGATCGTCGTTGTTGAAGGAGGTCTTTGCTGGGTCGTTTGTATCTTTGTATTGTCTGCTAACGTGCTTGTCGTGCTTGTTTTATTCGCCGTTGTTCGCGACTGTTCCTCATTTCTTTTTATTTTCGTCTGGGATGGGGACCTCACCTTCCTGCAAAGTTCGGAAAGCGTTAGCACGGTCATTTTTCTCGTAATTTTTTATTTTTATTAAGCTGCAACGGCTGGTGCGATCGCTCTGGTAATCTTCAAAGGTTGTTTGTGCACGTCTTAATGAACACCTATTCAGGTAAGAAATTGTGAAACGCAGTCTGTAACGGATCAACAGTAACCTCTTACAACGTAGTTCGAGTAGCTAAAAGCCTATTTTCCGCGTCCCAGATGCGCCTCAAATGCGTGTGATTGCCTGAGTGGCGTTTGAGACCACTAAACAAACGGCTCGCTATGTCTTTGTTTCTGCGTACGTTGTGGTATGATTGTCGTTGCAGTTGCGGTCAATGGATTCCGCTTTGCAAGCGGACTGACCGTAGCAATTTGTTTGAGTTGTTGGTTGACGAAGAGGGGCTCGAAAAGCTCGAGGACGTGGCGGAGCCTATACATTTCCATTGCGAAGTCTGCTTCAGTAGACGTCGACTCCGCTAGAGGCGCTGCTGGCGCGTACGCTGCTGCCCCATAGGTTTTCAGAGGAGTTTCCAGTTTTGTTGATGCTATATCGTATTTGTTATAAGTTTAAAACTGCTGCATCCCACGATCGAGCGGTAGCGCAGCAGCAATGACGCAGCGTCATCTTTCAAGTCTCTCGATCTTTGTATAGAAACTACCAGCAGTCAGCAACCCCGATTCCTGTTCATGGTTAGCCGGCCCAAGCATAGAGGAGCATAGCTTTGATTTAACGCTTAGAATCTACGATATTCCGGAGTGCTTCCAGCGAATTGCATCGTAAATTTCGACAGCGCGAAAGGATGAAAGCAGAA